TGCACAAAGTTAAATTGGCACTGTTTACTTTTGAAAAGTGATAGATTCTATGACATAATCTTAACATATTTACGCCGCCAAGCATATATATATTTTGACAGCTGAACTAGTGTCGCCAACCTTCTCTCGGAAGGTCAGGGTTGCAATATCGATATTTTATCACCGACGTTGGTGATTCTTTTTTTAATATGTCTGTGATGAATACATTTTCTAATTGCCCCCCTGTGGGATGTACGCCCCACGTTGGCAAACACTGTATATGGTAAACAAAGGTAAAGCTATGTAAGATTTGAGGCTTTCCTCCGAAACGTCGGTTAACACCACATATACACGGTGCCAAATCCCAGAAGACTGCTTTCTTCAAAGGTAAAGCTATCCCAATAAGAGACGATGAAGGCGCATAGGGTTGTTTGAAGTCAAGGTTCCCACATTTTGTAGACATTCTTCCCACAGATGGCGGTGAGGTTGTCAAACCTTACGCGCCGACCGCCCTTTACCCTTCCCTTGAATGAAGGTTCTACTCTTTGTGTCGCCAATAATTTCGAATTTTGAAACAAAAACAAGTCGCCGTTCCCGGTGTTGCCAGTTTATGCTTCTGACGCTTCTGACACCACATTATACTGACATAACCTCAAGTTCGCTTAAGTTGCTATTGAAGGCGAGAGTGCATAAGAAGTGTTTTCTTATTGGCGTATTTCACGCTCAGTAATAATTAATATTTTGTAAAAGTTCACCATGTCCAAAAGGAAAAGCACCATGTCAGTGGAATCTGATAAGGTGGTGCGTAAAATTATTACTTTGGATCGAAACTTGAAGTTATTAAACTGATAATGGTCAATGCAAGGCAAGCAGCAGCAGGACACTACTCCAGAACGTGCGACGAGTCTATAGTAGGACTAATTCTGTCCAAAATCTAATGACTACATAGAACAAGGTAAGGCTGCATCAACATATTTTAGTATACAATGCACTAGGAACAGACATTCTGTTTTAGTAGAAATAGAGTATCTATTAATAACATGGTTGGAAGATTGCAATAAAAAACGGATTCCAGTTGGTACCACCAACGTATAATTCTCGGAAATTTCGGTTGCCTGTTTTCTTGGTGTGTCCCCGCCCTAAGATGTTGCAACAAAGCATCACAGCCTCGCATTTGGCGGGCAAACTAAAGGGTGATGGGTTAGGCAAGCTTTGTTTGAAAACTGGTTTAAGAGTTATTTTTGTCCAGCAGTCGGAAACTGCTGCAAGCAAAATAATCTTACACTTAAACCCCTCTAAGTTCTGCTCTGAATGACCTGTGTGGAAACATGAAAGCCGTATTTTAACTCCGAACACTACGTTTTAGCTAGAATCAGTGCACCAGGGTATCATGTCAGCTTTCAAAGCCTATTATTTGTGAAGAACTTTTGCGCAAGCAGTGCAAGTTACGACGGGGGAGGTGTAATTCCATTGATTGAATTTTGGATTCATTTTAACTTTAAGCAAGCCGTTGAAAATATTTCTGAGTCTTGGCAAGAAACTACGGGAAACACAGTGGGTGCTGTGAGGAAATATCTTATTTAACTGCGCAGATGGCTTTTGTGGCTTCGAAAATCAAGTTTACGTTGTTGTTGCTGAAATTAGCGTCATTGGAAAGGGTCTTGGTTCTGAAGATGTAGATTCGCCCAATGTCAGAGAATGTCGATTCGCATTCACAGCCACTCATTGACGCGGACCTTAGAGATTTGGCGCAATAGAGCATCCGCTACGGGAAAGAATAAATTGCATTTGAAGGGGAGGGGTGTGTTTCAAAGGAAATTTTGATAAAGGGACTCGAGCAGATATTTCGAATTTTTAAACTGTTAAACAAAGAATTATCAATTTAGATCCGAATGTGGTAAGAAGCATGCTAGTTCGTCGAACCCTGGAAAATGAAATTAGTTGCCATCGTAAATGGTACGAACAGAGACGCTTGACATATTTTTCTAGAAAGTAGCATATCCATTTTTTCACTCGTTTTGTAGCTCTTTTCTTTAATAAATGTATTTTAGCTTATTTGCTTTTCATCATTCTTTATATTTATGTACACAGTTAAAACTTATTTCAAAGGCCAAATTAGGTTTTCCGACTATTACCCAAGACATGAATGTATTACAATTTTCCCCATTGGCTTTCAACTTCGATGTTCGCGGCTTCGAGATACAGTTCACGCGCAGTGCGCTGATTAACCGCATGTATAGAGGTGTACCTGTATTCGAATTTTTACGTTTTTAGATAGCAGACGAGAAGACAGGAGGTTCTGGAGTGCATGGATGCAAGTGAGGAGGTTGGTCTAGAAGTGAACGCAGGGAAAACTAAGTATATGCTGCTGTGACTTTACTAGAATGCAGGCAAAATCGTCATGGGCTGGGGTCACTGACCCTGCGAGTGGGGTTGCTATTCGTGACTGTGTGAATGTATAAGGTGGCCATCTGCACAATCACCTAACCACGTTATTCCCACCGTGTCGTCGCCAGAATGCATTGCAAAATCATCGCCATGGGCTGAAAGATCTACAGCTTAATGGGGTCATTGACCCTGCAGGTGGGGTTGCTGTTCGTGACGGTGTGAAAGTATAAGGTGGTCATCCGCACAATCACCCAACCACATTATTCCCACCCTGTCGTCACCAGAATGCAGGGCAAAATCATCGTCATGGGCTGATAGATCTACAGCTTAATGGGGTCATTGACCCTGCGGGTGGGGTTGCTGTTCGTGACGGTGTGAATGTATAAGGTGACCATCCGCACAATCACCCAACCACATTATTCCCACCCTGTCACCAGAATGCAGGGCAAAATCATCGTCATGGGCTGAAATATCTACAGCTTAATGAGGTCATTGACCCTGCGGGCGGGGTTTCCGTTCGGCACGGTGCGAAAGGTACGAAGGTATAATAAGGTGGCGGTCGGCGCAGTCACGCAACCACACCATTCCCACCGTTTAACAAGTGTTCCACCTCACAGAGAACTCACGCATAATCGAACCCATCACTTAATTTAATATTTGCCATCGCAACATTATATTAAACCAGTGTCATGTGTGAAACCACAGCTGTCCTCAAACTGAAAATTTACAAAATTTAATGCTCAATTATATTGTGAAAAATAGATCCATTTTAATTTGCAGTTGAATGATTATGCATTTTATTTATTAACCACCTAATGATGATCACAATTTTAGTAGTGATAAAAATACACTCATCAATCCAATCCATACCATCCCATCCTATCTCTCTAAGATCCATATTAATATTGTCCACCCACCTACACCTTGGTCTTCCCAGTGGTCTCTTTCCTTCTGGCTTTTCCACCGACATCCTATATGTATTCCTCTTCTCCCCCATTTCTGCTACATGCCTTGCTCACCTCATCCTCCTTCACTTGATCATTCAATACATTAAAATATTTGTAATTGGTTTATTAAAAAAACAACACAGGGTGCCACAAACACATAGAGGACAACATCAAAGAACCCTCTTCTCGAGAACGACAAGGGACAAACGTTTGGTCCCCTTCAAGAGAAATAATAAGAAAGACAACAGGAACCTACTTGGTTTATAAATTCCAATGAAATCTTAGCAAACCAATTACAAATATTTTAATGAATTGGAACAGCCACTGTAGTTGTAAAAAATTTAGATTTTATATCCAATTGTATATTATTAATATTGTATGTATATGTTTTAATGTTCAGAACATATATTATAATAGTAATTTCCAACTGTATTGATGTAAAGGTGTCCGTGTGATGATGGTCTCTGAAGACCGAAACATTTAAGGGCATAAATAATTGAAATAAGAAAAATCTTCACTAATCACACCGGATGGAACTGTTTAACTTTTCATGATATTGTTGGTGTGATGGACCAGAATGAAACAAATCATATTCCTGTCACTTCATCCGTCTTTGATCCAAACATTCTCCTCAACACCCTGGTCTAAAACTGCCTCAGTCTATGTTCCTCCATTAATGTCAGAGACAAAATTTCACACCCATACAGAACCACAGGCAAAATTATAGTTCTGTATATTCCAGTTTTTATGTTTTTGGACAGCATATGAGAAGATAAAAGGTTCTGGACTGAATGGTAGCAAGCATTACCTGAATTGAGTCTCCTCTTAATTTCCTCCTGAATCAGGGTTTGATTTGTTATAGTCATTCCAAAATATCTGAACTGTGCCACATTTTCAAAACATCTGTTTCCTATCATTATGTCATGGTTTTTCCCTGCATTTTGGTGACTAGACAGCAACATACACTTAGTTTTCTCTGTGTTTACTTCTAGACCAACCTCCTTGTGTGCGTCAATTAAAGTTTGTGTGTTTTTCTTTATGGTATCTATATTATCACCCAGTAGATTCACATCATCGGCATAGACCAGCAGCTGATGTGTCCCGTTTAATTTCAGTCCCATCTGATTTTCCTAGACCTTCCTAATGGCATATTCTAAAGCAAAGTTGAAAAGGAGTGGCTCTAAAGCATCTCCTTGTCTTAGACAACCATATAATGAAATGAGAACATAAATTGTTACTTCAGAAATCATCGTTTTTACAGAGATGCTGAGGAAACTCAAAATCTGAGTGCCGGATTATGTGACTAAATGTTGAAATGTGAGCAGACAAGCCAGCATGTGTCCCTGTGCCTCACAGGGATGCCAAATAATGGCCATAGTTTTCACACCCCTGTCCTAAGTTTCGCATGATATGCAGTAGGACATAGTTCAGAACAAATAAAAATTTGGCCTTGATATTATCTTATCAGTAATCTCCTTTGCAAGCAGATACCAGCTGCACACTATGTCCCGTCCTTCATTCCTCATGATATTTGCAGTCTCCTACTGATCTGTGCTGATCCGCAAGTAGACACTGGAGTCCTGCAGCTGTTGAAAGAAAAACACATGAGAAAGTTTGTTGCATTTTATGTTTCCTATTTTAGTTCATTAACCGTTTAAAACAGTGGTAATTCTTTCTACCACCTGCTTTAACATAGAAGAAAACCAACGACAATTTGCCCATGCAGTGTATTTGTGTGTTCTATACAGTTATTACATTAAACAGTGATTATTTCCATAAACATCATTAACTCCTTAACTTTCAAGCTCCACCACCCCTAACAACACCCAGGCTGATGGTGGTAAATGCACTTGCACATTGAAACCCACGCCACTTGTCAAAGTACTATCAAACAGGTAGTGGACTGTATTATGTGGAAGACCATTCTTCTCACTAAATGTTGGTGTGACACACCTGTTGACAGAAATTCTGTGCCAGTTGATTAACAGTGAGCAGATCTTTTCAGCTGGCAATTCTAAAACAACTACCCTCAAGCCACTCTAGTCAGTAGGTGGCATTTTAGGACTTTAAAGGGTTGAAGAGTTGGTGTTCAGGTGCAGTGTCTTTTCAATGAGGAATGAACAGTTTTTAAATGTTATTTAGGTAAAGTTAATGCTCCAGAGTGTTAGACAGCATGTAGTTCTCAGTTTCTTCTAATTGATTGTTTCTGGTAAATCTGATTTTCAGATTTGCTTGCTAGAGAATTTTACAATGGGTTCCGTTACACCAGAGGAGGCCGTGGCTGATGCAATGCAGCTGTACGACCAGCAAGGCTGCCTGCATGAACAGTTTGTGAGACAAGCAAAGGCCTTACCTGAGGCTATTGCTGTTGTTACTCACAATGGGATGAAGGTAAGGAACTGTGTTATTTCTTTCTTTATTCACTGAATCACGCTGTCAGCCATGGGTGCAGGCAAGCAAGCATCTGACCCCCTCCTGATTTTTTAAAACTCAAAAGGAAATAAAAGGAATTGTACCAAATATTAAAATTATTTTAAAAATAAATTTTTCTTATCCTGAATACTGTAAGGCGATCATTAGGAATAGTCTTAAATGAATTTGGCATAAGTTTGTAAACAAATTTTCTGTCTCCCCCAGGGAAAAGTGCTGGCAGCAACCATGTTGTGAGTGTCTCAGACTGTAGCATCAGATGATAGGATCATTGGTGCATGATGAATTGGGAAGGATGTGGAAGGAAGTGGCAGAGCATAATTTGTAATGTATTGTTTTTTCGATGAAGATAATGAAGACAGATAATATATCATTTGAAAATATAGTGAAGTTCAGATATTTGGGAATGACACTGACAAATAGAAATACATCCATTGAGACATTAAGATCAGATTAAATTTTGGGAATGCTTACTGTAATTGGTTCAAAAGTGTTTTCCACCTGGTGTCTTAAAATGTAAAGGTTAAAGTATACTGAGTGTGAATTTTGCCACTAGTTTTGTGGATGTGAAACTCTGTCTCTCGTATTAAAGGGCAAGTATAATTTGAGGGTGAAAGCTACTGTTTTCTGGGATGTGGTGCTGTGTAGTCTAGTCGAAGTTCACCATCGTTTCAGAGGAAGGTACTGTACTCCATCATCAGGGTGAAAGAGTTAGCTAAGCAAGCAGGAGCCATAATTCACTCACCGATGTTACAGGTCACTTACAGTGAGCTGGACCAGATGAGTGAGGAGCTCGCCATCAAGTTGCGCCATATAGGGGTGAGGAACAACATTGTGGTCGGCATATTGATGGAGCGCTGCCTGGAATATGTTGTCAGTTATATTGCCATCCTGCGAGCAGGTTAGCAACTGATGTGGCCTTTTAGTTTGGAAAACACAATAAGGTTACTTTCATCATGAGTTGCTGAATTCAACTTCATTTCAAAAACATTTCGTTCATTTCTTTTGTTCTATGAAACATGTTATACCTGTTTCAGTAATACCATTCTCTCTCAGACACCAGGATAGCTCAGTTAGTACAGTGATTAGCTATGGACTGGACTCACTTCCTATCAGGGGCAGACATTTTCTCTTCTCCACAGCATCCAGACCAGCTCTGGGGACCACCCAACCTTCTAAGCGTACTTTACCCAGCAGTAAAGTTTCTTGGTTCTGAAGCTGACCACTCCTATCTGGTGCTGAGATAAACTTCGTGTGAAGCCATATCTCCACTCCCTCATACAGTTACATGGCATGGTTCTAAGTTGAGTACAAAGACAATTTCTCCTCACCTTGGATATTCAAAGCATGAAGTCATGTGAATGTCAGTGAGTATGAAGAGTTCTGCCTCATGGAATGTGATGTCTTGTAGTCCAGTTGCAATTCTCTGATGTTTTGAAGAATTTACTGCCTCTCACTTCTGGGCATGCAGGCTTTATACTTGCTGCTTGTTTGCTTGTTCTGTTTAGGCTTAAACTCTGAAGATGGGAACAGTACATTCCTCTGCATGGCAGTACTCCTCATGAAGTATTCATATCCTGCAACGTATTCTGTTTTGCAGGTGGGGCCTATATGCCCCTTGAGGTGTCCTACCCATCACAGTTGCTAACGGTTGTTCTGGAAGACTCCCAGCCCACAGCTGTGTGTACTAAGGCCCCATTCTTGGAACGTCTGGCTGGTTCCTCCACCTTGCCAGTCCTATTGGATGCTGGATGGTTTGACAGAGTGCAGGAAGAGAACAGCCAGCTGAGTCCTCTCAAGAACACCGTCCAGGTGTCTTTGGATGACATGGCATTCACTGCCTATTCATCTGGGACCACAGGAAAGCCCAAAGGTAAGGGATGAATAGGTTGGGACAGTGGCAACATTTAGAATGTCCACTTGCTGGAATTTGTCATAGTTCTTTTCAATCTCTCTGGAAATGGATGCTACCAGCATATTCTGCAAGGGGGGACAGCCAGAGAGTTTGCTTACAAACTTATGTTTCAAGCTGTTGTTACTGATCAGCCTAGTGTGTTCAGGATAGAACAGTAATGTTTAAAAAAAATAATTTTTGGTAGTAATATTATAATGTAAGGAGCTGCGATAGCTCAGTTGGTATAGTGACTGGCTACAGGCTGGATGACCAAGGGGACAGAGTTTGAGTCCTGGTAGGATCAATTATTTTCTCTTCTCCATGCCGTTCAGACTGGCTCTGGGGTTCACCCAACCTATTCAGTGGCTAGCAGGGCTCTTCCCCCGGGGGTAAAGTAGTAGGGATGTGAAGCTGACCACTCACCTCCATCTAGTGCTGAGATCAAAATATGGATCTATACATCCACTCCCCCCTACATCTTCAAAGCATGGTGCTTAATTAGGTAAGCACATAGACTTTTTTTTTTCAGTTTCAATTCTCCCGCTTAAAATCTAGAGGGGGCACATCCCCCCACCAGTTCCCATGTTGCTATGTGAATGCCTCCTTTACATTATTTGCACATAATGCATGCAGAGAGAATGTGTACCAATGTCTGAGAAGTTTCATGGTATACCTGAAGATGGGGACAGGATGTTCCTTCGAAACTTCAGTGAGAGCCTACCAGACTGCATGGCATCACATCCCAGAAGATTGTGGTCTTCACATTCACTACTGTCACAACCTCGGATATCGTGAGAGCATTCCTGTCTCTTGCCCTCACCTTTGAAACTGAGAACCACTGCATAGATTTTGATGAAACTTGGCAATGATGTTGTGCCATTGTAAGTTACTGTATGGCAGTAACTTCTGATTTCCTAAATAGGGAATAATGACTGGGGGATGCACAGACTTGAGACATGAGGGTGACACTAGTGAATCTTCTAGCATGAAATAGCCGTAATAACTACAAGAAGTACAGTTACAATAATAATTAGAGTAGAACACTACAATTGTACATTTTGAGCCCCAAGAAATGTACATTTCTGGTTGGGAGCAGATGGTATTGTATTGTGCTCATTTCAGTTTCAGAGAGATGCTGCTGGGACGTCAGGTGCATAGAACACATGTGCACACTGTGTGCGCTTCAGTATGGACTGCAGCTTTCCAGTATTGTTTAATTACAGTCTTCTGGGGTCTGACATCTTATAGTCTGGTAGATTTTTACCGACCAACCAACCAAGAAGAACAGCAATTACTTGCCTAAGCAGTAGTTTGTGTGTTTTCTGTGAACTAGGAACTGAATTTTTAAATATTATTTTGATAAATTTCAGGCTTCAAAGGGTTAATGGCGGTTCCTTGTTCTTTATCAGGCATTCAGTGTCCGCACCGGGCTGCTGTGTTTTCGTTCTACTGGCGCCATATTGCGTACCCATATGGTGAAGACGAGCGAGAGGCATGCAATATTTTCTTTGTGTGGGAAATGCTTCGTCCATTGTTGAGAGGTGAGTTCTCCAGAAAGACCTTGTTAGCTTAACATGTAACATGTAACAGCCTTGAACAACAAAAACGTCTGCTAGAATTGTACTGCAGATTTTGTTTTATGTGGACATGCCAGTATTAGTGATTTTGCTTCTGTCATTTACTTTTCAAAACACTCCTAACTGTATTAAATGTGAGGTTCTTGCAGCAGTGAAGACCATGATTTTTCGAGTCGTAACGTCGTATAATGTGGTATGAGTCAGCCAATGTTCGGAGACTGCTTGCTGCCTGCTTCTTGTTGCTCTCTTGCCTGGCTTACTTTTCGACCATGATGAGGGTGGCATTACATTCCTCTGAAACATCAGTGGGCTCTTACATCCCAGAAAATCATCCTCTCCATCTCTGCTCTTACAAAGTTCCTCCTGTGCTTTGGGACAGATGTGAGATGTTGATGTAAGCCATTGTATCCCACTTTGTGTGCTGCTTAATATTCCTCCCTGGAGCCCTGACATGCTGTTCTCATGACAGGAGTGCCATTGTACATCATCCCAGATGACGTGATATATGATCCACCGCAGCTGGCCCGTTTCCTTGTGGAACATCGCATCACACGCATGCTCTTCACTCCATCACTACTGCAGGCTGTTCTTGATTTCAAGGGACTGCACCTCAACAAGGCTTTCCGGTTCATGAGGTTTGTATCTGTGGAGAAGTGATGGGATTTGATGCCATTTGCACGCACATATGCACGTATATGTCTGGAGAATGGGGGATTTCATAATGCTGTCAGTACCTGGATTGTGTTTTATTAAGTGTTAGGATAAGAGATGAATGATGAATAATCTTCAGAGCAGAAGAGCCACTCCTCGCTCTACTTCCATGAAGATGGAAGCAGCAGGTTCCTCTGTAACATTAGTATCCATATACACATAATTACCTATAAGACTATAGTCTTGATACACATGAGAGCCTCAGAACATGTTCATTAATGTGAGGTTGTGTTGCAGGCAGGTGTGGCTGTGTGGTGAGGTGGTAACAAGGATCTTGCGGGACCGGTTCATTCAACTGTTCCCACATGTTCAGCTCCTGAACCTGTACAGCATATCAGAGTGCCATGATGTTGCCTGCTCCGGTAAGCTCAGTGGTACTCAGTCTCTAATAGACTTAGAGTCTAACGCTGTTCAATGACACTGTCAGTAGCTGAGGTTGCATAGTGTTGAATGGTGGGACAGTTGGTGAATAATGAATTTGGAAGGATGTAGAAGGAAACATTTGTGTCCTCATTTGCATTACTATATCAGAATTTGCCTGGAGGGACTGTTGAAAACCGTGAAACACTTCAGTCAGGATAGCTAGCCTCTTGACCAAGATTTGAACTCCAGACCTCCAAAATACAATGCAAGAATGCCACCCATTCAGTCTGATATTGTCATGTGTTGGTTATTTCGAGTGTTTCATATTCAGGAGGTCCAGGGTTTGAGTCTCAGCCATAAGATCAACTATCCTTATTATTTCCATGATTTACCTCAATCGCTCCAGATATGTTCTGTGATATGACCTTAGATCAGGTCATGACCACATCCTTCCATATCCTTTCGAGTTCATTATTCATCCTATGATTTGCTGCCATACAGCCATGGCTCTTTGAAAAGTTGAATCTAAACCTTGCATTTCTGTTGTTCATTGTTACAGATCATGTTTCTCTGCAAACTAACAGCAGCCATTTTGAACACCTCCAATGAAAACAGCTTGACAGCATTTGTGTACTACCATTTGTTGTTGTTCTTGTTCTTGTTAGAGTTTTCTGCTATTGGCTTGCTGTGCATAAAGGCAAAAGCACGAAATAAATGGGGTAACATTATTCTCAGGCACCTTATGTATACAAGTTGGTTTCTGTTTGCAGATCTGTCCCTGGGAAAGTTACCTTCGGTGCCCTGCAAACTCTGTCCTGTGGGAAAGCTGCTCCCTTTTGTGCACGTCCTTGTGATGGATGACAAGCAGAATGTGGAGCCTGTCGGTGTCAGGGGAGAGGTATGTATAGAGGGGCCTTCACATTTCTGGACCATTTGCCTAATTAGATATTACACTGTCAGACGCTAGTTCCCTGATTTCAAGGCTTCATCTCTGACCCAGCACTTAGTTGCTTACAGACTAAGGAAAGCTATTTTTTAGACAGTGTTAATGTTGTTCTTTCCATTGATGGTTGTGGGTTTGATTCCTGTTAAGGTCATTGGATTTGTCAATAGACCTAATCCTTCCAGCCACACTATGGCCCTGGGGTCAACTCAGCCTGTAACAGAAATGAGTACCAGGAATCATCCTGAGGGTAAAGGGTGGCCGACATGTAAACCTGACAACCTCACCACCATCTGCAAGCCGATAGAAAATATGAAAGCCTCAACCTCTCACAACCCTATGGGCCTCCATGGCCTGTTACAGTGATAGCTTTACCTTTTTTTTTTTCTTTTGCCATTTTTATGGTTCTTCTGCCATGACTTGGTTCCCAGAACCTTGTTTGTGAAAACAGTTCTGTTCACATGAAGGTGATGTTGTCATTGAAATAAGATACACGGTGTGTCCAGGATCTGTTAGAACTCATTTTTTTTAAATTTTGCCCTGCAATACCATCTGTTGGCGAGTTGTGGCATTAAGATTCTTGAAGTTTCAGCTGTAGCTATCTATAATTTCAAATCGCTGCATCATGTGTTCTTCTGACGATCATTGGAAAATGGCAGTTGAACAGAGAGCCAACATCAAATTTTGTTTGACATTAGACAAAACAGCTGGAGAAGCATACAAAATGATGAAAAGTGTGTACAGCAGTGATTGTTTGAGTTGCTCGAACATTTTTCAATGGTATGCTATATTTCATGACGACAGGGAGGACATTGAAGACGCTCCACATACATCAAAGCCAAGAACAAGTCGCACTGAAGAAAATGTGAAAATAGTGACCGAAATCCTTGCATCAGACAGATATGTTTCTGCAAGACTCATTGAGAAGCTTTTTCGAATACCAAAAAGGACTTTGCATCAAATTTTGACCTAGGATTTGGGCAAACGGAAGGTCTGTGAACAGTTTGTACCGCACGCACTGTCAGGCAATGAAAAACATGCCAGAGTGGAACACTGCAAAGACATGTTACAGTCAGCCCAAAGTAATACAAAATTTACAAAATCGATTGTTACTGGTGACGAGACTGGTGTTATCAATATGAGCCTCTCACAAAGTGGCAGAGTAAAGCGTGGTTGAGCCCAAAGAAGCCGAAACCAAAGAAAGTGCGCATGCAAAAGAGTCGAGCAAAGACTCTGCTACCAGTTTTCTTCGATTCCAAAGGAATCATTCACAAGGAATTTCTGCCAGAAGGTCAGACAGTGAATTCTGATTATTATCTCAGAGTCCTCAATCGTTTGTGGGCAAGAATTCTTCGAATTTGACCTGAATATGGAGAGCAAGGTTCCTGGTCGCTCCTCCATGACAATGCCTCACCCCACAAATCGAAGATCCTGCTCGATTTTTTGGCCAGAAAATGGATCATAGTCCTTGATCATCCTCCATATTTGCCAGATTTGGCTCCAGCAGATTTCTGGTTGTTCCCAAAAGTTAAGTTGGCAATGAAAGGAGACCATCACGACACCATCCAGGACATCCAAAGGGAATGTACTGCAGTTTTAAATGTGATTCCCCAAAAGGAGTCTAGTGACTGTTTTCGAAAACGTTTCAATCGATTCCAGCTATGTATTGATTGAGAAGGAGACTATTTTGATTAAAAAGAGTGAAATTTTGAAAATAATTCATGTCTTGTATTTTTAATGAACACAGTCCTAACAGAACCTGGAGACACTGTGTAGATTTGATATTATTCTTCAGGCAGCTTAACTCTGTAAGACACATGATAGCTACATACACCACCTACTTTTAACCCCCCAAAAACTCTACATTTTACCCACACACTGTATTCATGTGTTCCCTGTCATTGTAACAATAATCCATGGTTACTTGCCGAAGCAGCATTACTTGTTTCTTTTGTATAATGCAGAATTGGCCTGTTCTCTGTCATATAGAAACCAAATTTTTAAATGTTATGTAAATGGATTTCAGTCTTAAATCCAGCTCAGTCAAAGTTTTCCATGGTTTTCTTCAGTCCTAGAGCAAGTGGTGAATTGGTTCCCAAATTCCACGTTGCACTACACACTTTACATACAGCCCTCTCACGCCCAGCATTCAGTTAGCATTTCGCTCTGATGTGACCCTTCCAACCATATCAGAATTTCTATCATGTGCAATAAAGCGTCTGCTTATATCAAAATTCACTTCCTAACAATTTACCGTCTTTCATTCTCAACATTAGGCCTGCCCTAAATTAGACAATTAGTTATCGCTTTCCCTCATGGCCTTTGTTCAAACCCAGGTCACATGGGTGACAGGTTTTCTCCAAGTATTTCAGTTTCCAGTTCCAATTGTCACTCCACCAACTGCTTTACATTCATTAATCATTCTATAAGGGCATTCCGTATATAATGCCTCCTATTTTTTTTAAAGAAAACTACAACAGATACAGAAATCATAATAATGCAGTTAACAGCTACTTACAGCTATTTTTCCACATAATCACCACCATTCGTTATGCACTTTTGCCATCGATGAACAAGAGCCTGTATGCTGTGCCCATGAAGGTCTGCGCCATCAGAGGCTAGCCACTTTCTTACAGCTGCAATGACAGCATCGTTGTCTGGAAAATGTTGCCCACGTAGTCCGTCTTTCATAGGCCCAAAGAGATGGAAGTCTGAAGGTGCTAAATCAGGGCTATAAGGTGGATGTGGTAGGACAGTCCAGCCAAACTTTGCAATGTGCGCGGTGGTCGCCAAACTGGTATGGGGTCTAGCGTTATCATGTTGCAAGCGAAAGGTTGTCTGCTTCTCTGGCCTGACTCGGGAAATACGGGCTTTCAGCTTAGTCAGCGTCATCTTGTAGCGTTCAGAATTGACAGTCCCTGGCCATTATCTGCTGATCTGTTCGGATGAGGCGCTGTTCATTGTGAGGAGTGGCAGCTGAGCAGGGACGCCCATGGCGTGGCTTGTCGTGCACTTCACTTTTGCCACTGCTGAAATGCACTACCCACCGAATCACTGTGCTGACATCCACTGTATTGTCTCCATACACCTTTAGCAAGTGTCGATGGATGTCAGTGGGTACAATTTGTTTGGCAGTGAGAAATTCAATAACACATTTCTCTTTCATACGCACTTCTATGTCAGACACCATTTTGGTAGACTGCTCTGCTGTCGCTATCTGTCGCACGACAACCAAATTAACAGTACATTGGCGGGAAGGTTCATTCTTTACTACAACACCACTAACATCGAGCTCAGACGTTACATATTAACACATAAAATAGGAGGCATTATATATGGAATGCACCACATATCACCAACAGTGTGTAGCCTCAGTTTGTAAAGAACATTAAAGTACCAACATAAACAAATAGAATTTTGCGCTGCTTTACTCTCTCTCAAATGTACTCCTACTAGAAGGGTGAGTAGGCACTGCTTGGGAACCTTCAGAGCAGGAACATTTTTCTTCCCCCCTCACCCCTTATCTTCTCTACATCCCTAAAAGACTTAAGCCTTTGCTGCTGGTAGGGATGGTTTTCATTGCAGTGAGCTGTATTTTTGACATGTGGACAAAACCGTTTTACTTTCAGATATACATTAAAGGACCGGCACTTGCAATTGGGTACTTGAATCGACCTGAACTGAATGCGGAGAGGTTCATTACCTATCGAGAACATGGCCGGCTGTACCGAACGGGAGACTGGGGCTATATGCTTAGTGATGGGAGCCTGGAAATATGTGGACGGTGTGATTCCATGGTGAAGATACGGGGCTACAGCATTGAGACTCAGGTTTGCCTGTTTAATGATGATATATTACGCGCAAAGTTTTAGTTTTGTTATGTTGAGGTTGTAGGAAGAAGTCCCATTAATTGTAAGAATAACAGTACTCAAGTCTTTCCCCCTCCAGCCCCTCTCTGGCCTGTCATCCAGCCAAAGTGCACTTGTCATGAGCAAAGTTTATCGTGCTTTTGTCACTAGCAACATTCGGGTGAACAGAGTGTCTGGATGTGTATGGAAGTGTGCTGCGAAGAAAGCATGTGAGTATGAGATCAACCCATGGGGCAACACTATCAGTAGCTCAGATTGTAGGATTAGTGAATAATGAATTGTAAAGGATGTGGAATGAAGTGGTTGTCGCCTGTGTGAGTCTACAATTGTATTGAGGTAAGAAGGTAAGGTAATGTTATCCATGTGCTTAATTAATGAAGCACTATGCCACGAACATATATGGGGGAGCGGATCTGTATATCCATGTATTCTTGAATGGTCAGCTTCATGCCCCTGGTCGGTTTACCCCAAGGGGAAAGAGCCCCTGTGCCCATTGGATAAGAGGCTGGGTGGATCCCAGAACTGTGGACAGGAGAGAAATCTTGGCCCCACTGGGACTCCGACCTCTCAGCCGTCCAGCCCATAGCCACGTGTCATGCTGATTGCACTATTTGCTTAAGGAAAACCACAAAATACTTCAGTCAGTATAGCAGGTCTGTGGACAGAGATTGGAAATCAGGATATCCCAAGTAAAAACACCACTTAAGTGCAACTTCAGTTCAAAATGCATGTATAGATTTTAGGATTATTGAAGTGTGTCATGAATGGAAAATGCTTGAGAGTGTCTGTATAGGTGTTGTGCCCCACATTGGGCACAGCTACAGTTGAATCTGCCAGATGTTGCTGTGGTGCTGTTTCCAGGCTGTAGAGGCAGCGCTTTTGGAACTCCCAATGGTAAACGCTGGCTATGTTTCGGTAGAAGGAGATGAGGGCTCCGACAAGTTCCTGGTGGCTTACATCGTGTCTGAAGGTAAGGTAACCCAGAAGGAAGTGCGTGCTGCCCTGAAGAACAGGCTTCCATTCTACATGATACCATCCAGGTTCATCTTTATCAACAGGCAAGTTACACATATCTGACCATTTCATTTGTTTTAGGCTAATTCGTTGATTTATTTCTTTAAACACAAATGGTAACTGTGCATACAACCCCCTTTAACATTTTTCCCTAAGCAGGTTTAACTGATTGCTCTGTGTTTTGGAGATGTAATGGAAAGAATGTATGCATTCAGTGTTAACACATTGCGGACCGGTAGTTTAAACATTTAAATCACCCTGGGGACCGGCGTTTTTAAACCTACTACCCTAACTTGTGCACCGTTCACTTTAAAAATTAATATAAAATCTCCTAATTAATTTTATGAACTGAAATTTTTGGAGAACACTTACCAGAGCTCCTAGAAGTGCTTGCGCATGTGACATCTCTGGAAACATTCCCCTTTGTGAAGAGGCATTACGCAGAATTTGCACATGTAGGCAGTTCTACTCTTCTTCTTGTGCTCTGCGCACACACGGCACTGCCTAGAAGGGTGTTTCTTCTTGCAATATTCACTCTTCACAATTTTCACGAGAATATGTTTCCGCATATCACCCGAGAGTCAGCCAGGGGGGTCTACTTGAGGCCTCTGGTGGGTGCGAACAGATGGCCCTGGCTGCACTACGTCTGTGTCTGACACAGGTACTGCCGCCACCGTGACGTCAGTAGCCCAAGCTTTTGCCAGTTTCAACAGAAATGCTTTGTATTTGAAAGTAGAATTTCTGTTCACCTTTTTGAAAACCATAAATGAATTGAAAATTGCACAGTTTATAAGCCACAGTGCAACCTTCTTCGCCCATTTTACTGTTTTCCTAGGAAGGGAATAATAGGCCAAGAACTGGTCGGCCCTATCAACTCCTTTCATGAACATATTATACTCGGAAATACAAAGAGGCTTCTTTACTTGCCCGTGTCATCTTTGAACATCGACCATGCTCAAATTGTGAATAGTGGAAACCATATTCACAATGCAAGTATCCCTCCAGGACTGAAGAAGAATGTCCCCCTTCCGTCAAAAAACTATCTCCAAAAAACAGTGACGCAACTTCAGACACGTCCGTTGGGTCCAATGGCATCTGCTTCACCCCCAGATCACCAGTAAACTTTCCCAAAGTGGGGGTTTTGTCCACTTTATCCCATGTAGCTGTCCCGACACTCACACTTTCAACAGAGTTCTCACTTTCACTTGACACATTTTGGGCAGCCCTGTGGCCCCCGTTACTGTCACTGTCACTGATAATGGCCTCGCTATCAGAAGACGAAGCAGTTGGCAAATCTGATAGCTCATCGGAGAACATATCTAATATTTCCTGTCCTCTGAGAGATCGCAACTGCTTTCGTCTCTGAGCCATGTTGAACTGGTAGCTGCGTGGTTCATACGTGCAAGCTTGGATTAGAACAAAGCCAATTTTGTTTAGGTTGTGACAGGAAATGACTCTGGTCGAGTTACTAGATAAGGCAGCAATCATTCCCGGGGTCATCTACTCAGCCGTTACGATTCAATGAAGCCACACAGCAATATATAGCATTTTGCAACATAACGTGACCGTAGAGGACCATATGACCCGCCCGGTCCGCAACACTAGGAAACGTAGAGGGCCGTATGGCCTGTCCAGTCTGCAATGTGTTAATGCAGGTGGTACATATAGTTAACACTTTGCTCCAGAGGCTGAATATTCAATAACAGAGTATAGCATAAAATGTTCCATGTTCCAGCATCCCATTGTTGGAGTCATCAGGAAAGCTTGACAAGAAAGCTCTCTCTGTGATGTTGGAGGCAGGCAACAACAATTATCTCAGCCCACACGATCTGCATTTGACACCCTTGGAGCACCAACTAGCTGTTATCTGGGGCAGAGTGCTGAAACTGAATGTCATTGATGTACATGAGAACTTCTTTGACCTTGGAGGGTAAATATATGCTCTGTCTGCACTATGGGCTGTGTGGCTTTCATAGGATCTGCCTGTCCCGTCACCTGATGGGCTGATGTCTGTGTGCCAGCAATGTGCTGTTGTCACTGTATACATAAACAAATATTTTATGCTGTTTAATAGTTTTCTTAAATTGGCTGTTTAACTAAGCTCTCAGTAACATGACTTACAGCATCAGAGGGTAGGATTACTAGTGAATGTAGAGCAACTGGTGGAAATTTGTTCTGAAGATGTCACAGAATTAGAGCTTGAATGATTGCTCCTCACTTGTTCTGTTCTGTTTCTGTTTCAAATGTTGTAATGATGCTTGCTTAGCAGTTAGAGTCCAGTAGAGGGCAGTGAATGTGGTACGTAGCACAGGGGGTTAGATGCTGGCTGCTTGGTGCAGTCTCATGTTCAGTCTGACGGGGTGACTTCTCCTTACATTCATGGTGGCTGAAGGAGAAGAAGCACTGGGGCAGGTTTTCTCCAAATTTCTTTTCATTTTCCCTGCTAATCATCATTTCACCATTGCTCTGTACTCATCTGTCTACCCCTGAGGTGTGTGATATCCCTGAGCAGGCAGCGCATTATCATATCCTCTGTCTCTAAGTTGAGGGCTTTATCTTTGCCAAGACCCTTGTCTGCTCACAAAGCAAGAAAGTTGAGTCAATGTGTGTTATTTTTCAGACACTCGCTGCTTGCCACTCACCTTGTCAGTGAAATTAATGAGCATTTGGGCATCCAGCTTCAAATATATGACGTGCTACAGCATCCCACGGTGCACTCCTTGGTGAACTTTATTGAGAAGCCGACAGAGACCAGCTCTGATGTCACACTGGATCTGCCAGCTGTGGTAGAGAGACATGCCCAGGACAAGGCTCCGTGAGTTCCCTTGTTCTGATCTTGTTAACACTCTTGTGTTGAAAATTTTAATTGGACGTAAGTGACATCTGTGGTCAAGGTCACTGATTATTCAACGTATTTATCCATGAAGATGGAGACAGCTTGTGCCGCAGAAACGTCAGGAGCAGTACAAAGAGCCAAGAGCAGAATCAACAGTTTGCTCATTTTGTTGCATGGCTGTTTGGGTTTCATGTTGAGGCGGTCCCACATTCGCACTTCAGCCCAAGTCTGACTGTCTTCACTGGCTTTCCTTACAGTTTTCCTCAGTCCCTCCTGAAAATGTTGGGATAGATCTTAAGTAGGATTCAAACATTCCTTCCCCCCATTACTTCCAATTCACCTTTGAGAATGATCCAGTAGCATATGTTATTTGGTACTGCAGCACTTCAGTGGGTAACAGAACTAGTATTTTATTTGCTACCACTCACCTCCAACTAGTGCTTAGGCCAAGAACACATGGATCTATACATTCACTCCCCCATACTTCTCCATGGCATAGTGCTTAATTGGTTAGGCCATTTGTTGAGCCCAACATTGAAGTGTGTTCCTTTTGCAGGTTGGACATCCACCTACGAGCATTCTGGCGTTCCTTAGAGTACCCCATCTCCTCCAGTTGGTGCCCTGAGAGAATTCTCCTGACGGGAGCAACTGGATACCTTGGGGCATTCGTTCTTAAGGAGCTGTTGCAAAATACAAAGGTGTGTCTCTTGCGTTAACTGACAGTACTTACATAACACATTTCAGTTCCATTCAGCCTTTCCCAGCATCCTTGATTTAACTGCTATAAGAACAGGAAATGCAGTGAATGGTGTCTTTTATTAGCATGAAAAAGGCAGAATGAAATTTGATGGAACCAAGAAATACATAAAGAATTTTCCTTGGGAAACCTCAAGAAAGATATATGCTAACTGCTTTCATCTTACTGAAAGCTGTCTTCAGCCTTGAGGGTAGATAGAGCACATTCCTCTGAAATGTAAGTGGCTTCTACCAGACTACACAGCATCACACCCAAAGAAGATAATAACCTTTGTACCAAAATTAGATAGCAGAGCAATATTAAAAATGGATCTAACAGGAGTTTTTAGATGGATTAAAGTGGCTCTGGGTGGGGTCAAGTAGTGAGCCCTTGTGATGCAACTGGGACAAAACAATTATTTCTGTTTAAATGTTCATGATTTTATTTACCTTTATATGCATGTTGTATTAGTAATATTTGTGGTTATTAATAACTTTGGAACATGATAATGAAACTTTGGATTCCATCAAATGTTGAGAAGTTCTTGAGAAGCTGCACAATTGGTGGCTTCTCAAGAAGGACTCACCTTCTTGAGTGAGTGATCAGTAACTTTGAGGGATTAGGTCTGAATTTCCATTTTTATAATCTTATACCAATCATCAGAATAGTTGGTATTAGTGTTAATATTAATATTAATAAATTAATATAATATTAATCTTAGCCATCTTCTGGAATTTAATGGATTAAGATTCCAGACATGAGACCTAACTGTAACGTTCCCTTGTGTGTGTATGTGTAGGTATGTGGCATGTTTGTGCTTGTGTTTGTGGTATTTAACAGTGCTTTCAGTGTGGAGGCTAAATAGTGTCAGATGGTGAACTGATAATCAGATGTTATAAGCAGACCACAGTAGGCTGGATTTCAGCCTCTCAAGGCAGTGACCATGAAGAGATCATATTCTGAGATATAATGCCATGTAGTCTGGCAAAAATCAACCAGCGTTTTGGAGGAACTTATCGCCTCTTCAGGGTCAAAGAGTAAGCCAAATAAGAGAACAGCAGAAGTTCTGAGCCAGATGAACCCAGTCCACCCCCTCCCATCCTATTTCTGTAACATCGATTTTGATATTGTCCTCTCTATGCCTAGGTTTTCCTAGAGGTCTCTTTCCTTCAGGTTTCTTTTACCAAAACCCTGTATGCATTACTTTTCTCTCCCATGTGACTGCATTAAGCTTGATAATCCACAAAAAAAAAACATTGCTGTTGGTTATGTATGCTAGCCCACTCTGTACACCCTTCCTAGTCTTGTCTGTATATGTAAAAGTAAAAATTAAAATTGTTCCTATACTTAATTAATTAAGCACTATGCCATGAATTTGTATGGAGGAATGGATCTATAGATACACATATTCTTGTCCTCAGCACTAGTTGGAAGTGAGTGGCCAGCATCACCCCCTAGGGCACTTTATGCCTGGCGAAAGAGCCTCTGGTACCCATTGACTAGTAGGCTGAGTGAGCCCCAGAGCCAGTCTGGACAACATGGACAGGAGAGAAATCTTGCCCTTACTGGGATTCAAATTCCTACCTCTGGCTGTCCAGCCCATAATCTTTCTCCATACTGACTACACTATCCTGGCTCCCTGTCTATATATGACCGTTTGATTTAGTGTTTGTTATTTGTATTTAAATGTGCTACTTCATATTTTACAGACAGTGGTATACTGCCTTGTTCGGGAGTCACTGGGGTTCACTGCAATGGATCGAATATGCAGTTCCCTTCAAAAGTTTGGCATTTCAGAGCTTGACGAGAAGTTGGAGCTGAGGATTGTGCCCATTAAAGGTGTGTCTTTGTAATGATGCAGGGTCTGTCATGTACAGCGTAAGGACAGATATAATGAATGTAGAGTCTGATACTTTCTCACGATTAGTGATGATTCTGAATGGTGATGTGGGCTGAAGCAGTCTCTTGTCACATGTGACATATCAGATAAATCACTGACACTCACAGAATGGAGTTATTTGGGTGAGAAATGACTACTGTCTGCCTCACACATCATGCAGCATTCATCGTATTCAGCGAGATCCGTGGAATGGCGATCTTGATTTCCATCATCCGTTGACAACAGAATATTGTGACTTTCTAATAATGACATAATGGTCTGCATCACCATCTGATGACGCTGCACCATCATACATCTTGGAAAATGCGGTATATAATATTTTAGTCATGCAAAGAGACCAGATAAGGCAATAATATTGAGAATGGCACTAAAATTAAAATTGACAGGAAGGAAACCAATGGGATGACCCAGAACAAGATGATTTAATCAGATGCTGGACCTCTGTCTAAACTATTGGTATAGCAGTGTTCTAAGCTCAAAGCCAAAGCTCCCTCTGGTGTTCAGCAGTAGAATATCATCTTGTAAAACTTTAAAGCATGAAATTTGTCAGAATTACATTAAAAATTTGGTGGAACTTGGTCTGTCACACTAAGGGAAGAACACAGACTGAGTGTGTTTGAGAACAGGGTGCTGGGGGAAATGTTGGACCAAAGAGAGATGAAGTGACAGGGTTGGAGAGAGTTGCACATTGAAATGCTTCATAACTTGTAGTCTTCGCTTGATATTCTTAGAATGACCTGATCAAGGAGTATGAGATGGGCATGGCACAAAGGACGCATGAAAGAGGAGAGAATTGGATACAAAGTTTTAGTACAAAAATCTGAAGGAAAGAGCCCACTAAGAAGAACTAGACATAGGTGGGAGATTAATATTAAAATGGATCTTAGAGAAACAGAATAAGATGTTTGCACTGGATTCGTCTGGTTAAGGACAGTGAACAGGTATGGGGCTTTTGTGAATGGGGTAATGAACCTTCAGATTCCAGGCTCGGAATTTCTAGAGTGAATGAGCAACTGTTAACCTCTGAAGAAGGGAGTTAATTAGTTCCTACCTCACAGAAAACCCCACTTCATTTCAGTTACAGAGATGAATCTATTAATGTTGTTTATCTGTTTATGGAAGTAATCAGTTTATTGTAAGAATCATGAGAAATATATATATATATATATGAAGAATGTAAGGTTTCTCAGTGTTAAAACAGGAGGTACGTATAGTTAGTACTATACTTTAAGGGCATAAACATTTGTTTGTATCAGGTGATGTCTCCCTTCTGAACCTGGGAATGAGCGAGGAGGACTATGTGTGCCTCTCTTACACAGTTGACTCCATCATCCATGCAGCTGCTACTGTCAACCTGGTGCGCCCATACTCTGCACTCTACAGCACCAACGTACTGGGGACAGCAAACATTCTTACGTTCGCTATGGGTCACAAGATAATGCCTGTCCACTACATCAGGTAATGCTATTAAACAATGCTGTACCAGCTAAAGAGATCATGTAATCATGAATATAACTGGAGTGGAATTATTCAGAAGTGAATAGTTGTTCAACTATTCAATATCTTTGTTTCTTTTGTGTGTGAGATCTAGTGTGTTACTTTATGGTGCTTTCAGTTGTTAGACTATATATTGTTGAGTGGTAGGATGATAGATGAATGGTGAATTTTAAGGGATTAGGAAGGAAGCAGTCATGGTCCAATTGATATACTGGCTCTGTATTTGCCTGGGGTGACTGAGGAAAATTGAAAGAAACCCTCAGTTAATATAGCTGTTGTCCATCTGAGATTCAAACTAAACACCTCCTGAATATGAGTCTGCAGCATTACTGCTGTGAGAACCTGCTTGTTTCTTTTGTGTTCCACGCAAGTATATTTTGTCTTTTGTCTGGCAACTTTTGTGTAAATGGCTGTCATTCTGGTTTTGTCTTTTTGCTTCATTGTTCAGATTATGCTCTTTTGTAGAATGAGTATGAAGATTATGTAATTGTTGTCTATTAAATGTCTCTGTCAGTGGTAGCTCAGTCAGTATAATGACTAGGCTTTGGGCTGGGTGATCGAGGAATCAGAGTTCAATTTTTGACAGGGACAAGTGATTTTTTTCTCTCCTCCATAAAGTCCAGACCGGCTCTGGAGCCCACCCAGCCTCCTATGCAGTCAGTACCGAAAGAAGTGGCTGGGCTGTGAAGCAGACCACTCACCTCTGTCTAGTACCAAGGTTAAGAATGCTGGTGCTATACCTCCACTCCCCACACATCTTCATGATGTGGTGCTTAATTAGTGAAGCCGAGGGATAACTTCACCTGCCAGTAGCTCAGACCGTACAGCAAAAACTGTAGGATGATTAAGGAATAATAAAATGGAAGGACTTAGGAAGGAAGCGGTGATGGTCTAATTTGAGTTACTGTCCCACCATTTGCTTGGAGGGATTGGGGAAAACCGTGAAAACTCTCGGTCAGGTTAGCCAGTATCCTGACTAAGATTCAAACCAGATATCTTCTGAATACATGTCAGAAGCGTTGGCACTTGAGTGAAATTGCTCAGTGAATATGAAGAGTAGTGGACTTCATCTTACAGCAGTGGCATTAACACTCATTGTGGCTTGTGATGCTTCTTGTAGCACAAATGCAGTGTTTCCAGAGGGTCTGCAGAACTGCAGAGAGGATGCCAACATGTTAGCCTATGCTGACAAGCTGCGCAGTGGCTATGCGCAGACAAAATGGGCGGCCGAGCAGCTAGTGATGCGTGCACAGGACAGGGGGCTTCCTGCTGCTGTCTACAGGTATCTTTGTTTTCTGCTGTACAGATTAGGTGTTTTAAGGCACAAGAATTAAAATGTTCTAACCTCCATTTACAGGGACCAGGTTCTGCCTGTATGGTCTTGTGCCCATTTAATGAAATACTGGCTTTAAAGGATATCATTATGGGGTTTCAGATTAGCAGTAAATAGCATTGTAAATAATTAAATAATTTTAATTAAGAAATTATAGATTTGGATTTGCAAACAATGGGAAGTATATAATGTTTTTTCTTATATTGAAGTTGTTCCTGTGTTTAATTAAACCTCTTACTAGCTGCCCTGAAGACAGAGACAGCCAGTTCCTCAGAAATGTTGATAACCATCTACCAAACTACACAGTACCTGCTCTCAGAACACAGCATTCTTAGAATGTTAGTGCACTGCTGACATTTCCTTCTTATTTATGTAGATGTGGCAACATTGGAGGGTCACGGGAGGAGGCGAGCTGGAATCCAGCTGACTTCACATTGCTCATGCTGCAGGGTTGCCTGTACACAAAGATGACTCCTGACATTGATTGGCAGGTTTGATACTTTTAGGTTCAAGTTGTGATGATACTTTTAGGTTCAAGTTGTGATGGTTCAAATAAACTGCCCCATTCACAGTGTAACAGATCAATTATATTGTAGCATGTAGAGCCATTTCTAGGCAACGGCTCAGTATATATGGTCCTGTAGCAAGGGATATGCATGCAAAAATAGTGGTACTGTTGGAATCGGTGTTTTCTACTCGGTTCATGCAAAGGGGTTATAAGGAGGACAACTGGAGCAAGAATAGTTCAGTTGGAAGGGAGCCGCCATACAGAGGGGATTTGAGCATGGAAGCTGAAGAATCACCACAGTTAGAAGCCGTTATCAGGGAACAGCTGGTGAAAACACAGCAAGCTGGAAAAGGCTTAGCATGTGCTGTAGTGATTTTTGAACTGTGGAGATTAGCAGTGGCGCTGTAATTACTTATAGTAATGATTCGTGTGTATAAGTGATCAATAAATCCAATATCCAATCCAAAACTCCATTGATAATCACACTCTATATCATGTGACACTATAATTGTGTTATGTACTTATGTATCATCTCCTGAGTACTGGAGTGCACTGTGTCCATCAGCACCAGTTGTCAGGAAACTGGATATGAGGTCCTGGAATCAGCAGCAATTTAAATGTGACTTGGAACAAAATGCATGCTGAAATCTGACACTTGGAAGTAAGGGCGAGCCTATGTAAGTGTGTGGAAATGTCCTGCATAAGCATCAGTCTGAAACAATTGCATATCTGAACTAAGTTTAAAGTTCTTTTCTTTGACTTTGTCCATCATGTTAGCTTTCTCTATAAAACTAGTGTTCAGGTGGAAGAAATATGAAGATATCCCTATTCTCTTGGAATCTTTGCTAGAGAGACAGAAGAACTGGCTTGCAACAGATTCGTATACACAGGGACAAGGCCATCATACTGTCACGTGATTGAGTGCCTTAAGATGGGTTTGGGTTGATAATCAGATTTATTGAACACTTACAGAATGTAACTACAAATAACTGCAACAGTTTCACTGAGTTACGCTCTCCAAAGATCAACTGCAGTGCACATAAAGTCTTCTTAGTCTTCACTAGCCATTTCTTGGTAGCAGCTTCCAATGGCATACATTCCTTATGCTCAGGGTTCCTGAACTGTTCCTGGCCTCAGCTACCAGCTTCTTACTTCTCACAACTGCAGCTCTCGAACTGACTCAACTGAACTATTAGTCTTCATTATATAGCCCTGGCACAGACTGCACAGAAAATGTTTCTTTGATTATTGTGTGTTCTCTTGTTGGCAGGGAGACAACATGTTCACAGACCTGTTCCCTAGCAATGGCTGTTCTACTGTCACCTGTTTACACAACTGCTACTTGGAAGTGGGTGTACATGCCACAATATGTATCAGTTTTTTGTATTACAGATTGAGCTATCCCCAGCTGACTTTGTGAGCAGAGTGATTGTGGAGGTGTCGCAGGATGTGCTTCACTCTCTTGGCAAAGTATTCCACATCATCAACCCATGCACGATGAATTGCCGGTGAGTGTGAAGGGTCTGTGCTCTGTCCATTTCATGACAGTTCATGGCACACCCACTGACAGTGACAGCAGTTGTCAATAAATTGTATGTGCCATGCCAGTAATATTTGCAACATCTTACCTAGTCATACAGTACTTCACCTTTTCTCTGATAGATGTCATGCAAGTGTACATAACCTTCCCAGATCATATTATAAGACTCAATTCATGCCTTGTGAAAGTGACTGCTGGGCTGTCCTTCTGGGCAATTGGTTGTCTTCTGCAATACAGTAAGCCCTTGTTATGATGGACTGGGGTATAGTGGATTTCGGATGTAATGGACAAAATCTGGCTGTGTATAATTGTGAATTTTTGTGATGTTTAGGCACTAAGAAGTTATCACAGTTAGAAAACTATTTAAAATAAAAGACAACCCAGATAGAAGAACAATCATATAATCACACTATGTGTTTCTGTGCTAATTGCATGTATTGGCTATGTATCCTGTTGTGCACTTCTGTGAATACCCCTTCATTCAGTTGTAATGGGCATCACCAATAATGGATACGATGAGGGTTTACTGTACTTACAATGGTCAGTTTAGTCTAGTATGAAATGTTCGTTTAAAGCGAGTAATTGGTAGTTTCATATAAAACAGAACATTTATTTACATTTTTATCTTCTGGGGTTTCTTTGATCCTGCTTGCTCCATTTTCACTTTCTGGGGTGTCTGGCACGCAGCTCCGGGTTGAAAGAAATGGGCACAAACCAGGATTCAAAGCCATTCTCGTTACTTAATGACAGTTTTACACTTAAATGCAGGATTGAACAACAAACAGCTTACATATTTCATGCACTTGAAGATACAGACCCTTCTGCCTCAAACAGAGAATAAGTTAATAAGCCATAATTTGTTGGATTTGTGGTCTCCACAGTGGTTCACTCTGAAGAGTACATTCTTGTGGGTTTTACCACCGTGTAGCTGCTTGTTTCTTGCTAGGCATACCCTTTGAACCTGAAGACAACATGTCAGCTCTGTCTGAACCACACAGTTCATTGTTCATTGTCCATTTATTTTCCATATATATCCCTACAGGTTAAAAAACCAGGATGTGGAAATTGTCCTTTGAATACAGATATCAATATGCATATACAAGATCAAAATCATATACATCAATCAATAAACATAAATAATAATGTAAGGTAAAAGAATCTAATAAAAATAAACATACATTAAGAATAACTTACTCACGTTATTAATCCCACTTGGCTTTAACAAGCCAAGGGATAATAAAACAAGTCAATTACATATACATACATGTGTGTTACAAGATACAAAACAAAACAAGCAAGACAGGATTATGCCACATGCAATAATACCATAATTAAAATATAAAATTTATAATAGACTGACTTAATATCAATCATAACTTTTAAAATACCACAAATTTAGGTAACAATCAACAAACCACAGACATATATGTACTCATCCACATAAATTACTACAAGGAAATGCTATCCTTCGATCTGCAACATTCAAAATATTCATCCAAAGTATAAAATGAATGAGAAATCAAGAAATCCTTCAAAGCAATTTTAAAATCTTTACAATTAGTGAACAACTGCTTTAGATATAAGGGTAAGCTATTAAACAATCTGATACCCATACAGTATGATCCCTTCAGGTATAGTGATAGATGAACTATAGGTTGATAAAAATTAAGATTAAAACAATGTCTTGTATTTCTACTATGTATATCAGTTGTAAACTGATATAAATTTATATTATCAACCACAAAGCATAATAAAGAGTAAATATACTGAGACTGAAGAGGAAGAATTTTCAATG